ATTATATATTATTTAAGATGAAAGAAAATATTTTTCTCAAATTATTAACAATTTTTTATATTTTTTTATTTTTCTTTATATAATTAATATATTTTTAATCTTAATAAAAAATATTAATACTAGTCATTTAACTTTTCTGAGTTGCGGCAGTTTGAAGTTGATTGTTTAGATTCTGCGTTGCTTGTACGGCAATATCAACTGCCTGTTTTGTGAACTTTGCAAGGTCTTCTTGTATTTTTCCAGAATGTTGGCTCAGAGATTTGGCAGCTTTATCAGATTCTTTAAGTAAAGTTTGAACTCCTTGCTGGAATTTACTTTGTAATTCAGCGACTTGTTGTTGAGCATTTGGAATTCCACTACTAATATCATCGACGACTTTATTGAGCATGGTTTTAACATCATTCCATGATCTTTCCAATTCGGGAGTTTTAGTTTTGACCTAAAACAAGTAATGTATTGTATTTGAATTTCGTTTTTCTTTTTTCATTTTTTCAACAAATTTTACTAAAAAAAAAAAAAAATTATTTTTCTATAAAAATTAAATGTTTAAATTGATTAAATTTATTTAATTAAAAAATATTTAATTATTACCTCTTCAGTAACATTCTTTATGTAATCTTGAATATTGTTAACAAAATTGGTGCTTTGATCTTTGACAGTTTTTACAATAGTCTCTTGATCAGGGATATTCCATTGTTCCTGAATTTGTTTCGCTAAATTGTTAATATTTGCTTGAGCCTGGCTTATAAGTTCGGTTAATTGAACATCAGGAGATCCTTGAGAATTGGTAGTGCTAGTCGGAGCAACTTTGGCCTCCGAAATCAATATAATACTAAAGATGATCGTAAGGATATTTTTCATTTTTCTTGTAGGTATTCACTGTGAAACAACCAGAAAGTGACTGATATTGTCAGCTGAAGAGTCACTACTTTTATAGGCGATTCTTATCGAGGGTGCACGAGGGCACAATCAACTATCTCGCTTTGACGATGATGAATTCTGATTCTCCTTTAAATATTTTTAGAAGAAAGATTTGGAAAATTTTTTATCATAATTATTAATATGATTAAATTTTTTAGCAATTTGTTAAAAAGATGATAATCAAAGGAATTCAATTAAAATGCAATGTCATGAATATAAAAATATAAGATTAGGAATAATTATTTGAATTTAATTTTTTATTCAATAATTCTAAAAATTAAAAGTATAATCAAATAAATGTTACAATATATTCATTAAACTAATAAATACGCTGATAGTCGATTTTACATAGATATCGATGAGTTAAAGTTCAAAATAAAAACGAATGTCGCTGCATCATTATCTCTATAAAGATAATATATTATCTTAATAAAGTACAAAAATATGAAAATTATTAAATTAATATTTATATATCTTAATATATTAATCGTTAGAAAAAAAAATAATTTGTATATCTTCTTTTATACGTTGTCATCAGAAATATATGGTATTTCCAAGAACTAATCAATTATATAAAAAAAAAGAGAAATATTTACCAATATCTCATGATTTAATCATGTTTGTAATCTTAAAAGTTTATTAATGATTAAGAGTTACGTCAAGAGGACAAGGTCCTATGGAAAAATTTAATTATCGATGCATTTGTTGATTTTTACTTTGCATGAGCACTATTCATGCCCATCATTTTTCCGAAGTCCGTATGAAACAACTGGTTATCTATGCGTGTCGGTCAATAGAAACCTTGACCCATGACCATTTTAATACTGTTACACGTTATAATACATTGTTATATTTTACATGATACATATTATTTGTAATACAATTTTCATTGTACGATTTTTATTATATTTTTCTTAATTATTTATTCTATATCAGAATATTCATATTATACGTATTAATTAATAATAATTTAAGAATATCGATTCATGTTTTTAAGTATAACTTATATATATATATTATATTGGGAGAAAGTTTATTAAATGATATAAATCTCCATATATAATTTCGTTTAAATATAATTAATAATAAATTATATAATTTATTTTTAAAAATTAAGAATTTTTTAATTATATATATTTATTAATAATTTATAAAAAATTAAATAAGTTAAGGAAGTTAAAATATATTTCAAAGGATGAAGAAGGAAAAAAAGAATAAAAAGTATATTATCAATTATATAT